CTGATGCTGCCTGGCCTGCTGGGTTCCTCCAGCTCCACACTGTGCTGTTTGTGACTCCAGCATCTGCAGTTCTTGCTATCTCCGACTGGTTTGAACTACAGTACTTGGAAGCTGATGCAGTATCAATCTTTACAAAGTGGTCAGTTTTAAGTCTGCTGTACAGATCTTGGTGTAGTATCAAGGGACATCAAAAACAAAGATGAGACTTTAATCAATACTTCAGTTAAGCAAAGAGCATTTGGGAGGTTCATTAAAGAATCAAAAAAGTGAGTGAAAGAGATTCAGATACCATACCCATTTTTGTTTTGTAAGGCAGGAGTATCATGTCCACATTGTGCTTGCGAGAAGAGCTCAGGTTGACCCGAAGGCCTATCTACTTTCAAGACAGGGCCAATACAGTCTTGAGGACCCTTTGATTTTGTTTGGTTTCCAGATAGACTTAGGCTTTCATGATCAATAGTGATTATTAATTTTGTTCTATATTTGCATGTAGCATTTGCCAATTGAACCCCTTTAAGGCAGCATAAGGAAAAGGGTTTCAGCAAAAGAATGGATTATCACACTGGAAAGTAGTTTGTCAGAATGGCATAAAATACAGACTACTAATTTTTAAATTATATAGTCTGATTTAATACAAGGACTTTGATAGACTGAAATCTCTCATTTTTAAAAAGAGCCAGAAAATGTCTGAAAACTGTCAAAGGCATCACTTAACCACAAGTGACCAAGTTTCAACATGAATTAGTCAACAGATCATCAAATTGAAATTAATATCTTATCTGAAGAGATCAGTCCCCAAGTGCACCTCTGGGAGATGTGAAAAACATTCCTCATTTTTTATTTACATCTTTTGAGAATGTGGGAGATGAAGACAACATCTGCAATTATCAAGCTAGAAATGATGAACTCAGACATGAAGATACCCATGCAGACTCATAATCCACGGAACTGCTTGTGGCAGAAAAGAGGAGGTAAATTTTTTACAGTAGAATTGAAACCAATTTGGGGAAACTTTCTCTGTCTCTCAATAAGAAAAAGCAACAATACAGATTTAAAAGAAACATCATATCATTGTGTTTCCTGTGAAATATTCTATACAGACACTTTTTAACTAGTTTAAGGTTTTAGCAAAGATTTGTAGCTCGGATTGTGGATGAGGTTGTTGACTTGCTCGCCGAGCTGGCTTGTTTCTGTTCAGACATTTTGTCACCATACTAGGTAACATCATCAGTGAGACCATAACGGACCAGACAGTATAAATTCCAAGCGGAGTAGAATAACACCGCTTCATCAGAGGCCTCACTGATGATGCTACCTAGCATGGTGATGAAACATCTAAACGGAAACAAGCCAGCTCGGCGAGCAAGTCAACAACCTCACTTTAACCAGTTTGTTACTCATACTTGTTACTTTCTGAAGAAGGGTCTAGGCCCGAAACGTCAGCCTTCCTGCTCCTCTGATGCTGCTTGGCTTGCTGTGTTCATCCAGCTCTACACCTTGTTATCTCTGT